AGTTGATTTTTAAAGATACCCAGCGAGGGAGCCACGCGAATATCAGGAGGTAGGTTGTTCCAGAGGTGAGCCGCCCAGAATAGACGATATCTAGATGGGCGGCATATAAATGCAATAAATAAATAAATAAAATAAATAAAATAATTTATGTCCAGGCTGGCCTCGACTCCTGAAGAAGCAAAATATAACCACTAGACAATAACACGCTACAAATTTCACTGCATCACCACATCTTTGGAAGCTTTCAAGGGATGCCTAGCTAGTATCAAGATATATCACCAAAGTCAATATCCAGGTCTAAAGAGGGTAAGGTCCTTGTGATCTCATGGTGGGACAAGCCAGGGTTTGAAAAAGGAACACAACCTCTGGTTGTAGAAACTAGCAGAAAATTTCTTTCCATTCTAAAAGCATGAAGTGCATCTTCTGAGACTTAATTACTGACCACATGAGATGTATGCCAAAATGTAATGGCATCCCCCCCCCCATTTGCATTTGATCCAACAAACCATTAGAATCTGGCCCTTGAGAACGTCTTTCAAACTGAGGGTATACCGTATTTGCTGGCGTATAAGATGACTTTTTTGGCCCAAAAACGTGCCTCCAAGTGGGGAGGGCGTCTTATACGATGGGTGCACTTCAGTTGGGCCAGGAAGGAGCTGTCGCTGCCACCGTTGAGTGAGTGACATGGGGCTGTGCCAGCTGAGGAGGGAGTCAGGCGGGCGGGCAGGCAGTCGATCCGGACGGAGGGAGAGAAGCAGAGCCAGCCATGCCTGAGTGGTCACAGCCTGCTGCCGGGCTGCCCACCGCCCCATGCCAGTGAGCCAGCTGCTTCCCCTCCTCCTCCTCCTCTTCCTCCTCTGCTACCGCCACCTGCCTAGCCACTTCCCCTCCTCCTCGCCCTCCTCCTCGCCAGCCATGAATTTCCAGACGGGCCTGGGCAGAGCCCCGGGCAGCCACCACTGGTGCTGCAGCAGAGCCATCCACTCTATATTTTGAGTGGAAATGTTGGAGGGGGTTGTCTTGTACGCCAGCAAATATGGTAACTATGTCAGCTATTTACCTTGCCATTTCTGTTGGATTTGGCAGAAATAAAATCAGACTAAAAACTGATGATTACACAACATAAAGGTCATTGTAAGTAAATAAAAGACATTGTTTCTTTT